TGGTTTCTGCCCGGTTAATTCTACTAAACCAGATCCTGCTAAGGTCACCAGTGGCATATATTTCAGGTTCACTGGGACAGTTCAGCACTCACCTACCCTGCAGGCACCACTGCATCTTTGAAACACACTCCTTCCCTTCAGTAGTCTCTCTCCTGATCATCCTTATGTCCTTCTCACTGCACTGCCCCCTGCCTCAGTGCCTGTTGCAGATTCTCCTCTGCCTGGCCCTTAGTACTGAGGGTATGAAGGATTAGGTTTAGGTCCTCTTCTCATTGTCCATTCTATTTATAACCACATCCATCCCCATGCCCTCATTACCAGACACACAGTAAACAATTTAAAACTAATACCTCCTCCTCGCCATTTTTTAAAAATTTCCAACAGTCACTGACTCTGAATATTATATGTCTCCAGGCAACTTTAGAAAGAATATATAATATTATTTTTCCTTTCCAGCATCATTTGTACCTAAAACTTTCAGTGTGAGAACATTCTTTTCCTTTACTTCTCTTTGCAGTCTTTAATATAATTGAAATGAAATAAACAATAATATAGTTTTAGTGTCCTCTTCTTTGTCGGACTGAGAGTTTCAATGCAATAGGAACTGCATTTACTTTACTCACTTGTATTTCTTGGTGGCAATTACACAGTCGATCAATAGGGTACTCAGTTTATATGTACAATCTGAAAGGAATGAATGAATAAATAAGTGTTACCACCCATTCTTTAATAAAATTTTGAAAATGAGGGCTTGGATTTTAATTATTAAATAAAGAAACTCATTTTCTTTGATAAGAATTTAATAAATAGAACAAAGTGCAAATTTAATAACATGAAATGGTAAACATGTTTTAGAAATTTTAATAGCATGTATAGATGAAATGTAATTTTATTAATAATTTATAAATATTATAAATATGATAGATGCAAGAAGGAAAAGTAAATAATAAATAACATCAGGGCGGGCATTGCTTAAGGACTGATGCCCCTGCAGATGAATACTTTTGTATCTACTTCCTTACTACTACTGACAAAATATTGGCTGAAGTAATTCATAAATTTGGTGGCTAAAGCAGAAATCAGTCTAATAAACACAGGTGAGTGTGCAGCCTGATGTGGCATCTTAGTCAGGGAGAGTCATGTCAAGTTGAGTTCAGGTCTCCATCCATTTTTCTTAACCTTTCTTGTAAGTCGGTTGATTAAGAGAAGGCTCTCATGATTTCCACTCTTATGATTTCTCAGGCGCAATTGCTGTATTCCTTCTCTTTAAGATTGACATGGGGATTTCCAGGAAGTACCTCTTCATGGCCAGGGTGGGGCCATGTAGTATTTGTGTGAAGGACCTGGGTTCTCAGTGATGTCCTCCTTTCCTCCTGATCTGTGTCCCCAGGTTTCAAGTGTCAGCAGCCCTCAGATGCTGAGAGCTAAAGTGTGGAGAGCTAAGTAGGTGGAGGCATTATCCAATTGCAATTGTTACACCTTTGGTAGACAATATTTATTTTGCTACTACAGCTTTCATCGCTCAACTCTTACTTAAAGTGTTGAACATTTGCTTTGCTCAGAATTTCCTAGTGGGCCATAGGGAATTCCATGACGGTGTTATGCATGAGTAAAAGCTATGTCACAGAAATCGGTGACCCTCAGTTGTTCATTCAGCCTACATCCTTCTGTTGGGCTGACTGTCACTCCATCTCTGTCTCCTACTCAGAATTCAGAGCAGTGAGGCCCAGGCTGTGTCAGGGAGAAATAGCCTTGTCTCTTTACTTACTCTTGATGTTTTGTTTTAAATTTAAAGAACAGCAAAAAAAATTTAAGAACTTATTTCTTGCATATTGATTTACTGGCCAGTTTGTCTCTCCTACTGTGTTCCTTTACATGTCATCCTAGGGTTAATACAAAAGGAAGGGAAAGAATGGCAGAGGGGCATCCCCATATTTTCTGTGATTTTCCAGACAAGAGATTTTTTTGTTTCTCATGTCAGCTTTCCTGAAAGGCAAAACTTGATAGTTGTTTGTGGACAAAAATAAAGCAAATATAATTTTGAAGGTCATGAAAGAGAATATAGACAAATGTCTTTTTTGCTGACAGTGTGGCAAATTGTAAGTTAAATCTAAAGAAAGGTGAACCAAAAAATGGAAGGAACCATAATATTTGAAAGTTGTCAAACAGTCTCAGAGATAGCCATGTGCACATGCTAAGTCGCTTCAGTCATGTCTGACTCTTTGTGACCCTGTGGACAGGCTCCCCTGTCCTTGGGATTCTCCAGGCAAGAATACTGGAGTGGGTTGCTGTTTGCTCCTCCAGGGAATCTTCCTGACCCAGGGATTAAACCCTGGTCTCTTATGTCGCCTGGATTGTCAGGGAGGTTCTTTACCACTGGTGTCACCTGGGAAGCCTCCACAAAGACAGGCAGGTGAGACCAAAATTTTTACATGTACTCTTGCCCCCAAAAGGGGCCCTAAAGTGTTGAAGGAAGAAAGAAAAGGAATGAAACTTATTTAGCATATAAATTAGAGAGCCCTCTCATTTGTCAGTTGGAGAGAAGCATTCTAAAGACAAGTCTGTAACCTTGTCTTTAGAGGCAGAGATTTGAGAAATCTAGGCTAAATTGACGCCTTTCCCCACTACCTGAGCAGTACACACACACACACACACACACACACACACACACACATCATGGTTAATTCCTGAGTTACAATTGGATTACCTTAATAGTTCTCAATTCTACTCAAATAGATAAATCCCAGGCTAATGTCTGGCAACAGTTGTATTCTCTGAAATCTCTTTATTTGTGCCTGTGTTCTCTCTTACTAGTGAGTCAAAGTGGAAGGGATGCAAGTGCAGTTACTATTCAAAGGGACATTGAGAATTTTCTCCTAATTATAAATTCAAGCAACAGGATCTCATACTGGGAATGGAATTTAAAAACTGACAACATACTGTTAAGAAAGATTTAATGCACCTTCCATCAGGATCTTTTTCCTCTGATTTCTCTTGCATTTCCAGACCAGAATGCCAGGTTGTAAGCCTCCAAGGGTCTTAAAGTATGTGAAACGGATGAGAAATCTGGTACCTTTGCCAGATGAGCAGCCTAGAAGCAAGAATCACATCCTAATCTTTCAGGCTGCTCATCTGGCAAAGGTTCCTTAGCCCAAAGACATGTCCTGCCTGAAGCTGGGAGTATTTTCCCTCTCTAATACGAAAACCAAGGAAGCAGGCTTATTCAAGTTACTGACATCAGTTCTTTCCAGGAAAGACCCTCTTTTAGCTCTGAAGAAAATGTTAATGGAAGAAGACAGACTTCTGCCTAGAGGAGCAAGACGCCTGTTCCACAGACTTGGTCAATGTCCTAGTCCACCTTGGCCAGTAGATGGCACTCTTCCTTTGTAATTATTTTAATGGCCTCCAGAGGAAAATGGATCCTGCTTTCTAGTTCTTTTTTTTGCCACAGGTGTTGTTATGGTATTATAACAAGGACATCCTCCCATTCCCAAAAGTATTCATCACAGGAAAAACAGTAACCTCTTATATAAGCATTTCTGAAAAACCTAGAACTTCATTCAAACCTTTATTGATGGCTTTGCATTCTTAAGGGAAAATTATTAACCAGAACCATAAAGAAACAGGACACAGCTGTGTGAATGGCTAGGGCATGTGAAGACAGAGTGAATGAGGAGAGCTTACTGGGAATTTCTACATTAGAGGGAAAGTACAGGCATACTTTGCTCTATCTCACTTCACAAATAATTCCAATTTTAACAAATTGAAAGTTTGTGACAACCCCATGTCAAGCAAGTCTATTAATGCCATTTTCCAACAATCCTTACACACGCCCTGTCTCTGTATCACACTACAGTAATTCTTAGGATAGTTCAAACCTTCACAAGCAAAAAAATCTGAAGGACCAGATGATCATTGGTGATTTTTAGCAATAAAGTATTTTTTAAATTAAGGTTTGCATATATAGTCAGGCCACTCAAGTTGTCTGTCTCTTACTCTCTGTACATCCCCTGCCCACCCAGTACACCTATGCATATGACTGGCCTTCTCTGTACTTGTCCAAGGTCCCAGCTGGTGATCTTTCCTATCAAAGGAGTGGTTAGGGGCATGCCCCTATACTGCTTTCCCTGTTAAGTAGAGCAGGGAAATGAACTCCCCTATAACTGGCAAAATCCCCCCAACCCCCACTTCCCCATCCCTTAGTCCCCAGTCCCCCCATCCCTCCCAGTATGAAGCCTGCCACCATGTACTTCCTGCCACCAGTGCACCACGTATGGTGTAGTGTCACTCCAGGACCTTGCTTCAGACGTGTAAGTGCCCCCATCCATGAAGCTAGTGATGTCTCTGTTGCTGACACCAGTTTCTTTCTTTGTCTTGAAGCTGGGCAAACATCAGCCTTGTAGCCTGCTGGGTCCAGCCTGACAATCGGTGGCAGCAGCCAGGAGGCCACAGAAACTCCTGTGAGCGTCAAGATATCGGGGATATAGGATGGGGGATGGAAAGTTGTGGGGGCATCCACTAGCATGTGAGACCCAAAGTTGAAGGTATTATATAGAAGTTTACAACAAAGGCTACCTGAACAAAGGTAGCCTGAACATCAAGAGATTATTGTTAATTAAAGAACACCAGATATCCCAAATAAAGGGATTTAGCACTTTTCTACGTATGGGAGAATGGAAGAGTCTGGACTCACTGAAATCATTCCTTTCATGCATCTCAGCCATCTCGTGGTCACTACCCTGTGTTTTTCACATCCTGAGTTCCTCAGGGCTCACCACAGCAGGTGGCTGCAGCCTGACGGCAACCAGATCACAGGTATTCTTCTCCTTTCTGAGTGCCCTTAAGGCTCAGGAATTCACATCTGGATGACTGTGATATACTGTGATATACTTGCTTTACTGATATGGCAGGGAATACTGCAGTTCTTAATAGCAATTTGGGAAACTACCTCTATGCTAGAATTAAAACATTTTTCTTTTCTGTCTGCCTTTTCTCTCTAGGAACTGGAGACTTGAGTTCCAAGCAGCGTAATCAGGTGAGTGGGAAACCCTGTCTACTGGCATGTGCAAGAATCTCAGTATTTGGGGGACCAATAAATCCACTGAGGTAGAGCTGCCTCACCATACCTGCCTGGTGGCTCAGACAGTAAAGAATCTGCCTGCATTGCGGGAGATGAAGGTTTGATCCCTGGTGGGGAAGATCCCCTGGAGAAGGAAATGGCAACCCACTCCAGTTTTCTTGCCTGGAAAAGCCCATGGACGGAGGAGACTGGAAGGCTACTCTCCATGGGTTCGCAAAGTGTTGGACATAACTGAGTGACTTCACTTTTACTTTACCATATTTAAGCTCTAACTCTGTGGAAAACAACCTATGAAGTGTTTTAAAATGTTCATTTGTATGATAATTCTTAGAACATTTTCACCTTATTGTACATTTGTGAAACCTGAAGTGCAGAGAAGTTAGGGGAATTTCTAGGATCACACATAACTGCTGGCAGAATCACAATTCTATACAGTACCCTATATTGCTTGGTATAAGCAATTTTAAGTTTCATTTTAGAATTCCATCAAGTTTTAAAATAAACTTTGATCCCCAAATTAAATAAATGTTTTGTTTCCTTGTCTTCTTTTTATTGGTACTTAACATTTTGCTGTTTTCACCTATTCTTTACCTTAGGTATTGTAAAAGAGACTTCCTTGATCCAGTTTTACTCCTCTATCTTATGAAGGAATCGTTGCCGGGGTCCAGCCCCAGCAGGATCCAGGGGTACCCTCAGGATGAATGGCGTCGGCAAGTGAGAGAGACAGACAGACAGACAGACAGACAGACCAGACCGGGGTGTGCAGCAGAGTCTGGCGTCGCTTTATTTTTCACCATAGCTTTTATTCCCTAAGTAGTACATCTAAGGGGAGGTGAAAGATAAACATACAAAGTTTAGTTTAACATTACATCAGTTTTGTCCTTCACGAAACCAGGGTGTTTTCTGCATACTTCTTTGTTCATGAGAGTCTTCTTTCATAGTGGATCTTTGTACATTATCTTCTGGCCTTGGGGCCTATTAAGATTTTATGACCTAGGAGAAGGCAAAACTGTTTTCCGTAGTCCATTCTTTATTGTTCTATTTTGCCTTTGAGTTTAGCAGAAAACAGAAAAGTTGCAGTCTCATGGTACAGCAGGTTGCAACATAGTAGAAATACAATCCTGTTAATGCAAATGTCAGCCTTTTTGCAAAAGTTCTCAGCTAAATTTATCTAAAAAGTTTAGCACACAAAGGCTCTGTGGCTCTGGTAAGGCAGCCTCTGTTTTAGCACTCTTGATTAAAATTAACAATTATCTTATTGTTTCCACACTAGGGCTAAACTCTTATTTTTCTAAATCCTTAACTATATTAACAATAGTTTTTACTGCACAACCTCAGCACAATAACAGCAATCAATTGTTGAACTAATAACCACTTTTAGAATAATATTTGTTGTGTTCTCTAATAGGGCTTTCTCACCCCCTGAAGGGCTCTGTGCCCGCTAGGGCCTTTTGTGATCAGGTTCCTTATGCTGTTTATGATTAAGGTGTTGTGAGCAGTCATGTGCATTAGTATGTATTTGCCAAACAAGCCAGAGTGCCAGCAAAAGGGTTTTTACTTGAAACGTTTCCTTTATCCCTGGCCCCTTCATAGGGAACCAGCGTCCAGGAGATTTATTAAT